TATTATTATTTTATGTATATGTGTTTTGCCTGCATGATGTATGCACGTGCACCTGTGTCATACAATGCACAGAGACAAGAAGATGGCACCTGATCCCCTGAAACTGGAATTAGGGACCCTTGTTAGCCACCATGTGGGTGCTGGGAACCAAACCCAGGTATTCTGGAAGAGCAGTCAATGCTCACTGCTGAGCTATCACTCCAGCACCTCCCCCCCACACACCCAAAGTGAATTTTTATAGTGAAAAATTTGAGGAAGGACAGTATACTGTGGGTGGGTGGGGTATGAACATGAATGCAGAGTACTAGGAATTGCCTTGTACATGCTAAGCCAAGCGTTCTACCACTGAGCTAAATCTTGACTCTAAAAAATTATTTTATAATGTTTGTTTTTTGATAGAGCTAGGAGGGAGGGGATAAGAAATAAAAATAGAATTTCCAAGTCCCAATAACCATTTTTGTGTTACGTTTTGTTGTACTTATTGTTTCTTTGTCTATGTCTGTGGTGATGGGAATCAAACCCAGGACTTCATGCATGCTAGACAAGCACTCTACCACTGACCCATATCCCCAGGCTTAAAAAAAAAAATTAACATTTTTTATTTGTTGTGGTTTAAGCTTCACACTTAACATTGAAATTACTGGATAATATTCTGTCACATAGATGTTCACCTTGTAAATGTGTCATTCTTCCACTGTTAGATTTTAAGATTATTTCCAATTTTTAATATTCTAAATATGACAAAGCATTTTCTGTGTTTTTAGATCATTCTCTTAGCACACTTTGCTGGGCTCTTTGCTGGAAACTTCCACTTCAGAATCTGCATTTACAGAATCTCTGTGATCCTTCCCCCATAGTGGGAATCGAACCTAGTGTCTGATGCACACCCTACCACAGACCTATATCCCCAGCCCTCTTCTTTCTATTTTGAGTCAGGCTAACCTTACTCTGTAGCTCAGGCCGGCCTTGGATTTGTAATCCTCCTGCATCAACCTCCAGATTAACTGGGATTACAGGCCTATACCACTAGGGCCTCTTTTTTTTTTTTCCTGCTTCTTTGAGACAGTCCAAAATGGCTTTGAACTTTCTATGTAGCCAAAGATGACCTTGAACTCCCAATCCTCCTACCTCTACCTCCTAAAAGCTAGGATTACAGTCCTGTGCTACAATGCCTGGCTCAGAAATTCTTTATCAAAGACATGCAGGTATTTCTTAAGAGATGCAGAAGATAAAATTTATGTGTTACAAAATGTTTAATTAGTTAAATAATGAAGAAATGATTGAATTTGGCCTCGAGGGATTTTACTTTTGCTTTACAGTTTTGGGGCTTTTTTCCTACTTATTTTTTATTTGGGAGAGGGGCACATATACTATGGCCTGTGTGTGCAAGTCAGAGGACAACTTACAGGAGTCAGTTTTCTCTTTCCATCATGTGAATCCTATGTAATCGAACTTGGGTTATTGAACTGGACAGCAAATGCCTTTACATGCTGAGCTATCTAGCCAGCTCTGTTTTGTATCTGTGTGAACTCTTTTTGACTTAATTTACAATGCTTTTGATTTCCTTATTAGTTCTTGAATACTACCCTAAAATTTGGCTTATTTTCTATATAATTAGTTTTGTTTTTATACTAGCTTATTACCTTTCTGTCATTACAACAAATTCCTGATATAAATCAGCTTATAAAGAGAAAAGGTTTATTATGAATTTTTTAAAAATGAAAAGATCATGATAGTTGCTTCTCATTCATAGTAAACTTAGTTTTTTTAAGCATTGTAATAAACAGTTTTGGGCTCTCCTGCATCAATTAACAATTAAGAAAATGAATTACAGGGGCTGGAAAGATGGCTCAGCAGTTAAGAACACTGGTTGTTCTTACAGAAGACTCGGGTTCGAATCCCATATGGCACCCACATGGCAGCTAACAACTATCCATAACTCCAGTCCCAGGGGATCCAACACCCTCTTCTGACTTCCTCGGGCACTGCACAACATGGGTGCCCTTACCTAAATGCAGGCAATACATGCGTACACATAAAATAAAAAGAAAGTTTGGAAAAAAAAAAAAAAAAACGAATTACAGACATGCCCATAGGCCAATTTGATGGAGGAAATTCCTCAACTGAGGGTCTCTCTTCCCAGGTGAATCTAGTTTGTTTCAAGTTGACAAAAACAAACCAGCCCCTATCTATGCAATTCTTGGCTACAGAAACTAGAAGAGTTTTAATCAATATGATGACTCATATTTTGCAATTACAGTCATCTTTTTCCTACCTTTTCCTAAAAGGAATACACTCGGTTGCTATATTTTTTCCATATGTATGTGTATGCAAGTACAAGTAAGAAACCCCTGCTCTTCACACTTCCAGTATTTGTATAGTTCAGGCCTTCATCCTCTTATGACTTAATGATGGATGTTATGCCTTGAAACATTTCTGGCAAGGAGTGGGAACAAAAAAGCCAAAGGTATATGCCAGATGGATCTGTTCTTTAAGCCTTCAAGAAGCCCCACCTGGAGTTTTAGTGTATGTGGCTGTTAACTGCAGTTCTCAACTTAGACCAGCATTGTTCAATGAAAACAAAATGCAATTCACAAATGGGAGCAGCACGAGTCTTCTCCCCATCTCCTACCCCAGCTGCTGGAGATCAACCCCAGGGCCTTCACTCATACTAGGCATGCACTACCACAGAGCTGTAGCTGTACTCAGCCTCTTAAAAAAAAGTAATTAAAATTTTCTTGTAGCACATTTAAAAGGTAAAAAGGGTAGTGGGAATGTGTAGTAGAGCACTTGCTTAGCAGGCATAAAGCCCTGGGTTCAATCCTCAACATTGCAAATGAACAAAAAGGTGAAAGAAATGAAGTTGGTTTTAATATGTTCATTTAACTCAGCATATACAAACCATCATTTTGACATGTAAGCAATACTTTTAAATTGAGATATTTTACCTTTTTCCCCCTCAAGTCTTGAATGTCTCAATTTAAACTACTTTTCAAGTGCTCCATAGCCATACATCATCATATTGACTAGGAAGTTTATGATAGCGAAATACAGCAGGAAATGTGTATTTGGTCTCTGCCCTGGTTCCTGGGACAGAGCTTCTACAAGCCTTGCAAATAGGGCACTAGGTCTCCCTTCCCAAACTCCCGAGGTCATTGTAATTTTCCACATAATATCTGACACTGAACCATTAAATTTGGTGCAAATCTCCTGGGTATATTACAGGAGCATCTTTTGTTCTAACAAGGCAACTCTTGGTGGGTTCCTACATAACTTAAGAATGGAGACCAACCACGTGATCAGAGGGTTAGAATTTTCAGATCCATCCATTGTCTTCAGTTGCAGACTGAGTTTACTGCCAAGGGTCAATGATGCTATCAATCATGCCTATGCAATAAAGCCTCCATAAAACCCCAAAAGAATGTGGTTGAAGTCTCCTGGCAGCTGAATGCATAGGATTACCTAGAGTGTAGTATGGCCAGAGAGGGCATGCATATGCCTTGTCCCACACATCTCTCCATCTGGCTGTTCACCTACATGCTTTGTAACAACTTTTATGATAAATTGGTAAATGTACATGAAGTGTTTCCTTGAGTTCTGTGAGCCATTTTAACAAATCAACTGAACCCAGTGATAGGGAAGTGATAGGCTGGAACTTGTGACTGGCATCTGAAGTGGGAGCAGTCTGTAGGACTGAGTCTGTGGGAGCTGATGCTGCCTCTAGGCAGACAGTGTCAGAGCGGAGTTAAATTACAGGACACCCAGTTAGTGCTTCCTGGAGAATTTGTTGATGGGGAAACCCACAAACTTTTTGGGGGAAGGAGGTGATTCTCCCTATGTAGTCCAAGCTACTCTTGACTTCTGGCCCAAGCGATACTTTCACCTCAGCCTCCCAAGTAGCTGGAACTGTAAGTGGGTGACACACATTTTTACACCAGCGTGAAGTATCCACCTCTCCCCTCCTCCTCCTCCCCCCCACCGCCCCGTGGCAGTGATAGTAGCATGTCCTAGTTTATCTCTCCATTGCTGTAACAAAATACTCTGACCAATACCAACTTGGGGAGGAAAGGGTTTTTTCAGCTTACATCTCCTGGGTCACAGTTCATCAGGGAGCCCATGGTAAGAACTCAGGGCAAGAACCTGGAGGCAGGAGCTGGAGCTCAGACCATAGAGGAATACTTACTAGCTTGCTCCCCTGGCCCTTGGTCCACCTGCTTTCTTATATAGGCCCACCTGTCCAGGGGTGACACCACCCACAGTGGGCTCAGCCCTCCCACATCACTCAATAATCAAGAAGATGCCCCACAGACATGGCCATAGGCCAGTCCAATGAAGGCAATTCCCCAATTGAGGCTCCCTCAACCCAAGTGTGTCAAGTTGACACTAAAGCTATCCAGCACATAGCAGTAACAGCAAAAAAAAAAAAAGGAAAAAAAAATGTTTACTTTTCCTTAGAAGGACTTTGATTAATCACTTGGTGTAAGAAGAATCTGAGAGAGTAGATCAGGCAAATGGGTGTCTGTCTCCTTGACATTAGCAGATATTTGACTCAATATGGACTGAATTGATCTCGATTTAAGCAAAATCAAATCCTATCCAGGATGGCTTTTTGCAACCCTTCAGCTTGGAATTATTCTTTCACAGGGCAAATTTTCAAAGACAAACATTTCAATGATGAATTCATAAGCACCCGCATTTTTGCAGCTTCTATCATTCAGCAAGCAGCACCTTGGCAGGCAGGGTTATGTTAGGTCACCCTTATTTATAGTTCCTCTTTACTGTTGTGGTTACTATAGCAGCCATACTTATCATTTGTCATCTAACTGCAGTGTTCCATGCCCCACCCTTCACTGTTAGAGTGGCAGAATTGTCAGACCTGAGGAGAAAACAATTCACTTTTCTTTGCCTTTTCTTCAACTTTCTCTATACATTTCCATTACCTTTATTTGCCTAGCCTCTAATTTACCCTTACATTTTTTGAAATTACAATTTCCATTCCTTAAGAGTATATAGATTCGATTACAGTAAAGAATTTCTAGTTATTACAGTTTCTGAAATAGGCTCCAAAATCTAGTCGTGAGTGGGCACAGATGTGGGAAGGTGTGGTCCCTTGTTGCTTTCAAGGACGCGGCAATTTACTGTTCTAGCGCTTCTCAGAGAACTCTATTTACGGTGCAGGTGGCAGTGGGAATTAGTAAATTCCCGGTAGGTCAGTAATTGTGCCAGCAGCCACAGTGACTGGCACAGAATTTTGCGGAAGGCGCAGTCCTGCATACACCAATAAACACTGTTCAGAAAGAAAAAAAAAAAAAAAGCTTTCCTAACGTACTTTGTGTTTCCTGGGCGCTCCTCCCCGCCCCCTTCCTATTTTTCTGCATTGTCCTCCTCCTTCACGGGTGGGTCCTGGATGGACCCGCATCTCAGCTTCCTCTCGCCGGTGGGACTCGGAGTGGTACCCTCCAACCCGCTGCCGCGCCTGCGCACAGCGTCTTCTCGCGTGAACGCGCTGCGCTGAGCCCCCTGCACTCCGCCGACCCGGTGAGTGCCTGGCGTGGGCTAGAGTAGGCCAGGCTCCCGCCTTTTACCGGGCCGGGTACCGCCAGCTCCTTCGCAGCACATCCTTCCTCCCACCTTCAGGATCCGAGCCTCTGAGCAGTTAACCTTGAGGAACCCGGAGGAGGAAGATGCCTCCCGGAGGCACCGGAGCCGGGGGCGGGGCCAGGCCGGAACCCGGCCCACTCCAGCTCCCAGCCTCCCATTGGCTCGCGCGCCTGTTCATCTTCCCGGGGCCGCCGGCCGGTGCCACTTTCTCCGCTACCTCTGCGGCTGTGGGGCCGCCCCCGCCAGAACTAGCCGGAGCTGGCGCCGGCTGCCGGGAGCACGGAGGAGGGCAGGACGGGCGGTGCCGGGGCTGAGCATCCCAGGGCAGGCTGCAGCGCCGCGGCCTCCGCGTCTGCAACACCACCTGTCGCGGGCGAGGAGTCTGGTAAGGCGCGGAGCGGGCCGCCTGGCGCGGCGGGGCGGACGCGGGCCTCTCCGGACCGGCCCGGCAGCGGTGCGTGCGGCCCGAGCCCGGCGGATGGACAGCGGGGTGGAGGGAGGGGCGCACCAGGGCCAGTCCGATCCCCGGGGCCCTTCCTGTAGCTCTGCGTCGGGTTCCGGGCTGGCTGGTGACAGGACCCCCCCGCTTTCCGCCCAGGAGTGCTGCCCTGTGGCCTCCAGATCTGGAGCATCTCGGTGTCTTCTCCTCCCGCCCTGTGAAAGACCTGTTTTGTGTCTCAAAACCTCTTTGGCAAGATCTCTTTCTCAGCCGAGACCAGAGAGTGACAGGAATTGGGCTGTGTCCACATTCCTCATTTTAAAAGAAAGAGTTTCTGCAGGCAAGAAAGTTCCATGATTGGCGTGGTTCTGTCCATTCAAATGAAATGGCATCCTGTGCCCTAGGATTGGCAGGTGACTGACGCTCAGAACCAACCCCGGGGGTGGGGGGGTGCGTTTGTGGCTTTAGATTTGACTTACTTTTTTTGGTACTGAAGATCATTCTAGAAAATGTATATTGCTTGTGGTGAGAAGCGTGATGAAAATAACTGACCTCAACAGAAGTGCACCCTGACAAACAGGGTGTCCCTGGACCTACCCTCTTAAAGCTTGTGCCAATCACTTCTTAGGCAAAGCGTTTTTGCTTCTGCTGTGTTGGAATTGTTGATAATTGGCAGCGCCCTGTTAGAAATGGGCTGGGCACTGTTCTCTAAATGGTTGGCCTCAGAATAACCCTTTCAGCTTCGGGCTCTTATCACCCAGTATACCAATTAAGAAATGCTTTGGAACGAAAGGTAACTCTCTGAAGACCCGCAGTTTTTAAGTGAAGGCTTAAATTCAAACTCATGCTAGCTCCATAACTCTACTCCCTATTACCATGTATGTCCCTTAAGCATTTTTTATATTAAGCTGATTGCAAAGTAATAGAAAGTTTTATCTTTAATTTCTAAATATTCTGGAAGTTACACAAGAAAGTCATATCCCCCAATTAAAAAGTCAATACGTCTTTTGTATAATTGCTGTAAGTAGCTGATTATATATTGTATAATCTGTTACACAGTTTTCAGAAACACAAAAAAAGTTTCATTCTTTGAATATTGGGTTTTTAAGTAATCAGCTTTGAGCACTGATTTGTAAGCTCAACCTGACCCTTGCCGGGCTTGAAGCTATGAAGGCTTGAAAGTTAGGCACACGGGCCAGAAATGCTGATGTAGTGCTTTCTCACACATCGGTAGGAAACGGTGGGCAATGCTTTTGTAGAAGTTCTTCATTCTCTTGAGAGTAACATACTCCCCTTTAGTAGCTACTAATGAAAAAGAACTCTTATTAAGAGTTACATCCTTATAAGGAGTTTTTTTTGTTTTTCTTTTAGTGTATTAGGAAAATACATTTCAGAGTTATAAAGGAAAAGTTCAGTGTTTCAGAATTTTGTGCTTTTGTTTTATATTTTTTGACAGGGTATCACATAGCCCAGGCTGGTCAACCTTAAGCTCCTGCCTCTACTTCCTAAATGCTGGGATTATAGACCAGTGCCATCACACCTGGCTCATTTTAGAATTATTTTTGTAAGCTAAATGTGACTATGATACTGTTCATGCCTAATTTGTATTTAATTCCATTTAAAAAGCATCTACACTAATTTTTTTATAAAGTTAAACTAAAATTCTAATTTATAGTGAATTTTAGGGAAACTATATTGTAAGACAACTAACACTAAAACCGGTTAATTAATCTTAGGGAACAAAATTCACACAGAAATTACTTTTGATTGTGTAAAAATTGAATTATCTTGCTGAAATTTAACTAGGTTATTTGAAGTAATCATTTTGTTTATATGGATGTGTTTCTTTTGTTCACTTCATAAATTTCAAAAGTGAGGAATTATGCTGTTTCTGTAGCTACACGTTGACGGTGGTATTTTCTGTTGCCTGGATTTCTGTGCTGTTCATATTCACATTTTTGGTCTAGATAGAGATTGAATTTGAGGTTCCTCAAATGATAATTTTATTGTAGCCTCTTAATATGGATTTAATCACTAGAAAATGTTGATGCAAGAACTTGCTGGTATTTAGAATATAACTTCTGGGACTGGAGAGATGGCTCCGCAGTTAAAAGCACTGGCCGCTCTTGGAGAGGACCCGGGTTTGATTCCTAGGACCTACATGGTGGCTAATGACTGTCCATAACTCCAGTTTCACAGGATCTGACACCCTCTTCTGACCTCAGGCATTGCACCTACGTACATTCAGGCAATACACTCATACACATAAAATAAAAATAAAATATTTAGAATGTAACTTCTGACCATGTTAGCTAGAAGCAATAATACATAATGATTAGTATTTATACAGCACTTACAAGACACTGGGATAAGCATTTGTAGTGGATTATCTACTTTAAATCTTTGGGTAGAGGGGAAGCCCTGTACTGTTGAGTAGCTCTTGTTGCTTAGCCCCAGTTGAGTGATGCAAGAACTGCAACTTAGTGAGTTGACTTAACTCAGAATCAATTAGCTAGCAAATGGCAAAGCCAGGATTTACATCCAGGTGGCTTGACTTCCAGAGCTTGTCCCTAGCTTACTCTGCGTACCTGCCTCGGTATGTGTTTTACTGAATAAACCTTCAAGTCAAGCAAAGAAGCTTGTAGTGGTGATGAAGCTATAAGAACTTAAGATGCTTTGTGTACATATATGCCTTCATCCTGTAAAAGTTTTTCTTTTTCTTTGCCTTTGTGTATGTTGTACCTTTGCACTCAGATGTGGAGGCCAGAGGTTAGCCTCAAAATGTCTTTCTCAGTTACTTCTCTCACTGACCCTAGAACTCACCTTTGGCTAGACCAGCTGGCCTGAGCCCCCAGGATCCACCTGTCTCTACCCCCAGCACTGGAGTTACAGACACCACTGTAGCTGGCTTTTTACATGGGTCCTAGGGGTTTGAACTTTGCTCCTCATACTTCTACAGCAGGAACTTTACTCCCCAACCCTCCCTTATTTTATTGATGAGAAAACTGAGTATTTTTTTAAGAATATTTAGTTTTTACATGTATGAGTGCTTTGCCTGCATGTCTATAAGTGCTCTATGTGCTTGCAGTGCTTACAGAGGCCTGAAGAGGGCATCAGATCCGCTGGAACTGGAGTTAAAGACAGTTGTTAGCCACCATGTAGGTGCTGGGAACTGAACCCCAGTCCTCTGCAAGAGCAGCTGGTGCTCTTAACTGCTGAGCCATCTCTCCAGCTCCTAAAAATAGAATTCTGATGGAGTGGTTGGTTCCTAAATTGGACTTTATGAGCAAGTTTTTTATAAAGTATATATGTTGGGCTATTTGAGACTAGACATGAAGTTGTCAACTTCTCCCTAAATTAAGGACCTTCTTAAGCTGGGTATGGTGGCATACTCCTTTAATCCCAAGCATTCAGGAGGTAAAACAGGTGGATCTCTGTGAGTTCAAGGCCAGCCTGGTCTACATATCCAGTTCTAGGCTAGCCAGGACTGCATAGTAAGACCCTGTCTCAAAGGAAAAAAAAAGAACCTTCTTAAAAACTACAAATTCTACAACTTGGGAGGCAGGAGAATTGCTGTGAGTTTGAGACCATTCTGTTCTGTTTAGTGACTTTAAGGCCAGCCTGTGTTACATAGCAAAACTCTGCTTCTAAGACAACAAGAACAAAAACAAAATAATTAAAAAAAAAAAAAAAAAAAAGCCCACTGTTCCTTTCCTGTCTTAAAAGCTAGGACTTTTTTTTTAAACTACCAAAAAGGGAGAAAAGTCATAATAAAATACAACAAAGGACATCTTTAGTATTATGAATAATTATATCACATTGTCCTAGTTTTTGCTTATGTGGTCACAGACCAATGAAAACTAGACTAACACCAGTTCAGAGACTGTTTGGGATCACCAGGGTGACAACTCATTCTAAAGTGGTAATTATCTGAGTTCAGATTCAAGTCCAGGTCTGCCTAACTGCCAACTTGCTCATTACAGCAAGTCATGGCCTCGATGGTGAAAGGTGTCTAGGATTCTGGTCTCTAGTGAACAGCTGCTTTTCCAGGCCTAACTTTCTCCTATCTGCCCCCAGGGTGGCGGGGGCAGGGTCGTCTTCAGCAGTCTGTAGCCTTACAGTTACAGTATAAATACTGTTTGTAAATACCACCCAAAAAGGAACTTCTGCTTCCCAGTTCAAGAAGTTCTCTTTTTTATTAGATAGGGTGAATGGCCCTAGCCATAAGCAAAGAATAGGCATGCCCCTAAATCCAGGAAACTGTTTCTGAATATTGAGAATTAGAATATCTACCTTCTTTAAAATCTCTCATTTGAACATCACAGCTACCTATGAGGTAGATTTGACAGGTGGGGTTAACTTTTATTGTTCAGTCTAAATTCAGTATTTGGTAGTAAAAGGATTTTAACCAGGAGCTACAAGTAGGTTTCATATACCATATACTGATCCTAATTGCTGTTTGCAAAATGTTTTTTTTTAATTGCCTTTGATTAAAAAAATATGTTCTGGGGCCGGAGAGATGGCTCAGTGGTTAAAAACACTATTCTTGCAGAAGATCTGGGTTTGAATCCCAGCACCCACATGGCAGCTAACTGTAACTCCAGTTCTAGGGGATCCAATGGCCTCTTCCCTCCTCTGCAGGCATTGCACAACGTGGGTGCACTTACCTACCTGCGGACAATGCACACATACACATAAAATAATAAATAAAATTTTTTAGATGTTCTGTAACATTTTAGATTTGCCTACCTCACCAATGTACTACATCCATTGCCAACTTAATCTTTTGGTTTCAGTGTGGTAAACAGTGCTGTCTTCTTCTGGAAGAACCACACAAACATAGCTTCAGTTCTTGTGCTAAAACTTTTAAAAAATGGCAAAGCCAGAACTGTAGATCTTGTCTTCACTTACCTGAATGTTAGCTGTGCGGCTTTATTAATACTTGT